CCCCCCCCCCCCAACCCCCTTTGAAATGATTTTCAGCGCGAAGAAAACCACCACACCTCTGTCCAGCACGGGGCCCCGCCCCTGCGCCACCCCTACCCCCCCTACTCGGGAGGCGGTGAGTGCCCACGACCCCAAGGCAGCAGGAGACGATAGGCGCCCGGGCATTGGGTTGGCCGCGAAACACGGCAAGGAGGATGCGGGAACCGGCGCGACGAAGGGATGCCAAGGATGATGCCGAGGAGGACCGTGAGTACGGGTTGATACCACCTCCGCCGCCGCTGCTCTTGTTTTTGGTGTTGTTGCCGGCGCCGCTAGTGCTGTTGCTTGGTCCCGGGCTAGCGCTAGAGGAGCCCTGACAAAAAAAAAGCGGGGTAGTGGTGGCATTGGTAATGTGCTTGTTCGCTGGTTCTTAAGAAATTGGGCCATTGCCCGTTGGCATCCACGGTTTGGGTAATGCTGCCCCCCTCCAAAATTCTTGACGGAAAACCTCCTGTACGATAGTGAAACCGCCGAAAATACCGACGGAGGCTGAAAAACGACACGTGACGCGTGATGAAGTAACTCCTCATCAGAGAGAAGTCGGCCATCGCATTCCGACGCCAACAAGAAACATCCTTGGCTAACAGATTCCCAGACATGCCGACCGTCCCCTCCCCCCCCACCAAAGAGCCTACCCTACCAAAGTGCATGCACCGTACACATGCAAAACACGCCCACAACAGGCAAGCTCAACAACAGCATAAAAACGTACCCTAGCGCGTGATAAAGCTGGCGAAGCCATAGCGGCCCACAGACCGAGTTCCCGGATGGGGCTCGCGACGCAGGTCCACGGAGGCTTTCCTGACATCTCCGCCAACGACACTATTTTGTCCGTTGGAAGCCGCTCGGGTCTCCTTGAAATTTTGTCGAGGAGGCTGTGCACGGCGCCCACATGACGTCGGTGTGGCAGCAGCAGCAGAAAGCCTGCGGGGTTTGGTGGGTAGTAATGCAACACGTTGTTGTTGTCGTTGTTGGTGTTGTTGTTGTCGTTGTTGGTGTTGTTGTCGTTGTTGGTGTTGTTGTTGTTGTTGGTGTTGTTGTTGTTGTTGTTGTTGGTGGTGGTAATGCCGCTTAGCAGTTGGGTTCAAGCTGACGAGGCACGGCAGCGGTAGAACATGATAGGCTATCGCAAAAGGTTTGCAGTCCACTCCTGTTGCAATTGTGATCTTGAATATTATCGTGAGGTTCAGCAAGCGCGCCTTGTTCCGAATAGATGGGGACCTGGTAGTTATTGTTGTCGGAAGCTTTAAAGGAACGGAGAATGGAAGCTCTCTCATCTTTCCCCCCCTCCATACCCCGAACTGATGCAAGCAAATCACGGAGTCCCATCCGTGGCCACGAAGAAAAACAAAAAGGTTCAGACTTTCGGTTCGCTTCGGGGACAAAATATACCGCAACCCAAGAAATTCGTTTGCGGAGCAACATGCTGGCGTGTAACGATCGCGTGTACAAGACAGGGGAAGGTCTCGCAGCAGGCGATGCGAGGTGGGGAAGTGCGAACACGGCTCCTCCTCCCTGGACCACCACAGCGGGTGCTCATTGTTGCGGGGCGTTTGTCGCGTCGGATGTAGAACTATGTCGGCGTGTCGGAGTCACATCTACATCACCCCAAAACGATAAAAACATACCGGTGATCTTGCGACATGATCTATGCACGCGCCAATGAACGTGTGCGACACCCCCCCCCCCGTCCCCCCCCCTACCGACGACATCCAGCGTGCTCAGAGGATCCACCTCTTCGCCTTGTTCCCCCGCCGCCCCTGCCACGCTCGAGGGAATAAAGGATCGCGATTCACCAGGTGCAGACGATGCGACGCTGGCGGAAACCTGCGCCAGAAACGTCCTCGCCACGCTCTTTCGGTTTCGGCACCGAGCAAGGCAGGATAAGGGAGACAGGGGGAAGGGAGGGGGTTAATCACAATGTATAAAGTACTGTGGATGGTCGTCGTGTCGTGCAAGAACCACACACATCAGACATCCAAGTCCTTGTATACATCTGCCAGGGCCCTCCGCACCGATCCAGACTGCCTTGTCATGCTCCGCAATTTCATGAATCGGCGACCGTCAGGCGTCCGTTCTGTTAGGCTACTGTAGCCGCGCCCATCAGGGGAAAGCGAGGAGCATCCCGACACAAGCGCTTGTATGGCAGGAGGTTGGGAGCCATTGGTTGAACGTTCACACGGACGGTTGCGATCATTCTGGTTCCGTGTAGGTATAGGTGAAAGGCAGTGACAAGGTATCAACAGCTCACGCAGACGCATACAGCAGTTCTGGTTCGATCGATGTTGGCATCTGTGTAAGGCAGAGGTTAGAAAGCGTTGCGGTTCGAGCGTTGTCTCTGGACCTACTCGGGGTTACCTACAAGTCAAGCCATGTGCAATGAATGCGTGCGTGATTCAAGCACCATGCCCAACGCACACATCAAAAACAGACTCGCGAAACCTAGAGCTGACCGTACACATAAATGCCAGACGCGTGTTGGCTCACCTAGGTATCCCAGCGCACCGTCCGGTGTTGTTCATCCGTGTAAGTCGCCACAGCACGCAACAAAGCAAAGAACCTACAGCAGTATAGTTCCCGCAGCACGCATCTATTCTGGGCACCAGCCTCCGCTTATCTCTACATGCTTGACGTATCAGACGGGGCCAGGCACAAAGAATAAGGCATCCATTACAGGTTCTCACAGATCACCGCCGAAAGAAAAACACAACTCCACACAACACAACACAGTGGTCTCGAACACAGCACACTGCACACAGCACGCTGCACACAGCACACTGCCCTCTGCCGACACAGCGGAACACTACCTCGTTGATGGAGAACGTGTCCGCCAGGACGCCGATCAACACCGCCAGCGCCGTCATGCCGAGCCCCGCGCACTCGGACCTCACCCTCGACACCACCATGGCGCTGTCCCGCTCCCTGGCTGTCTTGAAGAGGGTCCGCACGACCACGGGCACATCCTCCTCGTCCACCACGGAGAGAGCCTTGAGGGGAGCACAGCAAGGACAGAATCGGGTGCAGACGGAAAAAAATGGGGTGCAGACGACAAATACGGATACAGAAGGACAGAAGACAGAATGGGGGTACGGAATGACAGAATGGGGTATGTCCCGGGTGTGCCTACGGATGGATTCCGGAGACAATAGCAACAGCTAATTTTGTGTGACTTCTTTTCTGCTCATGCTGGTACATCACGACGCGCCACTGCTCGATAATTTCTACTAGTTGTTTTGCCCGGGGCCCGTCGGAGGGCGCCTACTGTCAAAACAACTCAAATGTTCCTAAAGTGGTTTTCTCGTGCAAAGAGCGATGCAACGTAACGGCGCCTCTGCGACTCAACTGTGAGGCGTGTGCTGAAACCGCCAAAAGCCAATCAACACGAGACCTCCCCCCCTTCCAACCGCCACGCTTGCGTCGTGTTACCTCGAGAGTCATGGTGGAAACTTCCTGTCGCGTGTCTGCCCCCAGGGGGAGGTCGTACAGTGACCTGTTCTCACCAACGTCGGGACGCATTGATTGAGAACGTGAGGTGTGCGGGGGGGGGGTATACTCATAGTCGTGCATGCCGTCGTCGTTAGACCATTGACCTCGCATCCCTACAAAGCCGGGACGGAGCACGCCGGGTTCTTACCGGACCAGGCTCTCACATCACCAAGCGCGAAGCGCCGTGAGATATTCGGCGAGTCGCATGAAGGGTGCGCTGCATCCTGCTAAGGGTGTTCGGCATCTTGTGCTTACTTCCTTGCGTACGGATGACAGCTGCGTATGACTTAATTTATTTTCTGGTGCTTTCACTTCCAGAGACAGTTATAAGCACTGCGTAACTGCCTCGAGGGTGCTTGACAATTTTCACACAACGTGGTGGGATCATCTCCCTTGCGCGAAGTGAGGATTCTCCACCCCGCACAACATGGTCTACTTGACCATCATTATGGTTACCGCCAAACATAAAACAGAGGTAAAAAAAAAAAACGGTAACCTGGTTGCCGAGTTCACGAAGTGAATCGGCTTGTTTTACAACTTCGTTGCCAATCGACGAACACCCAAACCCGATGGCAAACACAGGGGGGGAAGGCTTGTTTTACAACGTCGTTGCCAAGCGACGAAAACCCAATCCCGATAGGCAAACACGGGAGGGGGGGGGGTGTACTCATAGTCGTGCATGCCGTAGTCGTTAGACCATTGACCTCGCATCCCTACAAAGCCGGGACGGAGCACGCCGGGTTCTTACCGGACCAGGCTCTCACATCACCAAGCGCGAAGCGCCGTGAGGTATTCGGCGAATCGCATGAAGGGTGCGCTGCATCCTGCTAAGGGTGTCCGGCATCTAATGCTTACTCTCTTGCGTACGGATGACAGCTGCGTATGAC